AAAGTATCACAAGTCCCATTGTCTAAACTTGAAGCTTGCTTTGTCCTACGGGGAATTGTTTGCCAGAGTCCCGGAGGCAAAATCTTCGTTGACCGAATCCCGACTGCTCAACTTCCGAGACGTGATACTCTTGTACTTGGACTTTAAGCAAAAGGAGAAATTCGCCAAGTTAAAGAGGCTCCGAGACGCACAAGCCAACTTGCCGGTTGCGCGATACAAAGAGGATATTATCGAGATGGTAAAGATGGAGAAAGTAATCATCGTCGCAGGAGACACTGGTTGCGGGAAATCTACTCAGATCCCTCGATATTTGTACGAAGCTGGTTTCCGGAAGATTGGTAAGATGCTTTTATCACTTTAGAGAGACCGTTACTCGTCTAAATACAGTCTTAATATTTTCTCATCCGTCGTATATATTCTATCTTCTATCATATATTCTGTGCTCTGTATACAGCATGTACGCAACCCCGAAGAATAGCGTGCATCTCATTAGCGAAACGAGTAGCTTTCGAAACATTGAGCGAGAATCTGAGTAGAGTTGGCTATCAGATACGTTTTGAGAAACAGAGGAATCAAGAGACAAACATTACGTTTATAACAGAGGGCTTATTGTTGCGCCAGGTAGCATATCTCTATAAATATCTACAACGTACGTGACGTAACAGACCGAGTCTACGTTTACAACGTACAACGTGTTTTACACAGGTGTCGGGTGAATCAACTTTATCCGCATACGACGTGATAGTCTTGGACGAGGTACACGAACGTCACCTGCATGGGGATTTTTTATTGGGCATTATGAAATGCATCATTAATCAAAAACCTGACTTGAAATTAGTATTAATGTCCGCCACCATTAATATACAACTTTTTAGTACGTATTTCGCAAAGGAAAATGTTAAAATAATAGAGGTAAGTCTCTGCAGTATATTTGGTCATATATATTTTAATAATTCCAAATGCTTGATTGAACGCGCGCGCGTTCGTGCACATTTAAATACTTTTCGGTATAAGCTAAATATACATATCAGGCACACCAATAGGATTTTCCATTTTCTATTTTCCATACAGGTCCCTGGCAGATTGTATCCCATTCAATTGTTCTATCGCCCTGTAACCGTAGAAGACCTCAGATACAAAAATGATCGATTTAATCCCAGTCCATATGTGCAAATAATGCAAATAATTGATCAAAAATATCCAGGTAGGGAAGCCTATATCTTAATACGATAATAATCTAAAATGAAATGAAAAAATCAGTTATAAAGGTTGTAATAAAGAGTAAAAGTAAGACATTTCTTCTCCGTCCTTGTTTACTATTTCATTTTATTCAAAGTTTCCATACAAGTACAAGTGTGTGAAATAATTACAACAATAGGAATATTTCAGTCGACGAAAAGGGTGATTTATTAATATTCTTGAGCGGAATAAGTGAAATTACTGCAGTCGTAGATGCTGCCAAGGAATATAGTATAAAGAAAAATAACTGGATAGTTTTACCACTTCATAGTACTCTCTCTATCGTTGAACAAGACAAGGTATATATATCTTCTCCCGCGCGATACTATTCTGACGAATCACTTTTGTGTGCGTTGCAAAAGAATGTAAAAAAATTATTTTCTCCTCCCTTCCGTTCCTAGGTATTTGATTATGCACCTGACGGTGTTAGGAAATGCATTGTTGCAACTAATATCGCGGAAACTTCTATTACCATTGATGGAATCAGATTTGTCGCTGATAGTGGAAAAGTGAAGGAAATGAGTTACGATCCGTCGTGTAAAATGCAAAGATTGAAAGAATTTTGGATAAGCAAAGCCAGTGCGGAACAAAGAAAAGGGAGAGCAGGCAGGACTGGACCTGGGGTTTGTTACAGGTAACTCTCTCTCTCTCTCTCTCTCTCTCTCTATATATATATATATATATATATATATATATATATATATATATGTATACTCATACTCTACTTCAATCATTTTATTATACATGAAGGAGTATCCAGAGATAAAAAAACACGTGTCCTTTTTCAGAATTTATTCGGAGGAAGAGTACAAGACGTTGGAAAAATATTCAACGCCAGAACTACAACGTGTACCTTTAGATTCTTCACTATTGCAGATGATAGCGATGGGACTTCCTGATGCGCGAAAGTTTCCATTTATAGAACCACCACCAGCCAATAGTCTAGAAAACGCTATACTATCCTTAAAAGATCACGTTGGTATCCTGGGCTATTTTTTGCTTTCCTCGCAAAGTACCAGATATTAAGTTAACTCTTTCCTCACTAGGACGCACTTACGGATAACGAAAAGATCACGTGTATCGGTAAAACCCTGGCTCGGCTGCCCGTTGATATCGCGATAGGGAAGATGTTAATAATGGGATCCATTTTTCATCAGGTGGAACCCGTGTTATCCGTGGCCGCTGCTCTAAGTATACAAACACCGTTCACTAACAGGGCTTACAGGGACACCGAATGTGAGGTACGTAGTGCTAACGTATAAGATAACTGCGCTACTAATATTGCGTATGCAATAATGAAACAATATTATTGCAGACATCTAGAAAGAAGTTGGAATCTGATCATGGTGATCCAATAACGTTATTGAATGCATTTAAAGAATGGCTGGAAGTGAAACAAGAAAATTCACAGGAATATAGAAGCAGTAATAACAGCAGCAGAAAGTGGTGCAGAAGAAGAGGTTTGGAGGAACAACGGTTCTACGAAATGACGAAATTGAGGGCTCAATTTAAAGACTTGCTCCAAGTTAGTTTATGTGCCTCGTACATTCCTTACATCTTATATCTTACACCATGAATGTACATTCGTTACACGACATATCTAATACTACTTTTTGTTTGCTTCTATGTGCTGTATTCTATGTACGTAACATCGTGTGCAGGACTGCAATTTACTCAAGAGCCTCCCAGAACCAAATTCTTCCATGACGAGTGCAGAACGTGCGATAAGGCATGGAGAATTGAAACTTTTGAAATCTCTCAAAAGAACTTACAAACAAAGTGAGCCTAAAAGGCGTAAACGGTTGAAGGTAGAAACATTCGATATACACGTGGAGGATAATGACGAGGATAATGGAGAGCTCGACATAAAAGATATAGAATTTCGAATGAGGAACGACTCGAGTCAGGTGCAGAATCTTTTAACGGCGTCTACCGCATGTAGCTATAAAGATCTGACAATGTTGAAGTTGATATTATGTAGTGGTTTATATCCACAATTTGCTTGTGCCGACGAGTTTAATTATTGCAAGGTAAATTACTTGAAATTATATTCCGTACGTATAGTTAATACTTAAAGACGTGAATCTAAAGCTCAAAACTAGAAAAGATATTATGTATAGATGTGTGATATTTTGCGCTTTCTGAATATTATAATAAATTTAAAAAAATATTCTGAACTATATATCGACAAATATACGTACGAATCGTTCTGTACTTGATTAAAATGATATATTTATATGATAAATGTGTATCTTTAAACTATTGTCCACAGTCTATAAGTGAACAATTATTTCACACAAAAGCGAAACCGTACGTTGCTTTGCATCCAATGAGCTTTTTCGGAAATCATCCACAAGTTCTGCAAATTGATGAAGCGGATATAACGCCAATGCCAGGATTTAAGAGCAAGACTCCTGTAAGCTCGAAACATCAGATATTGGCGTATCTGTAAGTCTTTATTATACATATAGCTTATAGCTCATAGCTCTGTTAATAACTTGCCGAATGTGAGTAAATTTAAACGCTTTATATAATATGCCAATATTATTAATAGATCCCTCTTGGAAACTACAAAACCGTATCTGGTAAATACTTTAAGAATGCCTGCTGCACAAACGTTGCTATTATTTGCGCATGAAATAGATACAAATAGTACGTTCTCCATGTAAGTTACTTTGTAAATTTTATAATTTCCTAATGGAATATATAGCAACAGTTTGATAATACGATGTAAAACGGCCTTTACGACTTATAGAATAGCATGCGATTCGTGGCTGATGTTAGAGTTTCCTGTTCCTGACAGTGGTCAAGTTTTATTATTGAAAGCTGCCAAATTAAGAAATAAATGGGATTTCTTATTAAATCAGCAATTACAAGGCAAGAAATGCATTTCAGATTATTAAGTTTATGCGCGCGCGCGCGCGCGCGCGTGTGTTTGTTTGTGTGTGTTTCTTTTAAGTAAATCTAGATTAAATGTGCCGTGTAAAATTATACATGTGTTATGTTATGTTAGGATCCGACAGTGCTGACGACGAAAGAAAAGATTTTAGTAAAGTTGAGCAAAGTCTTACGTACGACGTGATCGAATATATGCATACTACGATACCATATACCATAAGACGGCTGTTACCAGCCGATCTGAAAATAATGTACGTTGGCAACGGCAATAATGACACGAGTATAGAGCCTAATCCTTTCCAATCCGATTTTAAAAGTATACCAAACATAATTAAAGGTGGAGCTTGTGTGACAAATACTATCACGTATAATTGGTGAGTACTTGGAAGTAATTGGTGAAAAAATATTAATATACTGTAAGATGTGATAACTTAAATTGTCACTGTATATATAAAATGTAAAAGTAAATATTAGATTGGATACAATGATCAATGTTTTTAATGAAACTTTCATTGTTACATTATAGCATAAAAGAAAGTACGTGGAGTGAACAGCTAATTGTAGAAATGCAAGAAACCGAATGGCATTGTGAAAATTGTGATCTTCGAGCACGTCTATCGAGTATCGAAAAACTTCAACATCAGAACTCTTGCACAATCGCAGATACGATTAGTGTCGATAAAAAGAGTGAAAATATCATACGTAAAGCTAATAGTCAAGCATACGAATGTCCTGATTGTTCGCTAACATTATATTTCACGCCTATCGAAATATTGAAGCATAAAAAATTGCACATCAAAGCAAGCTAAGACATCTATCGATTGTATATAAATGCATTATGTATTGTTTATTGGAAGGTAATGTTTTTTTTTTTTTTTTTACATATAAATAGTTCTCTTTTTATTTCGTAGAAATATACAACAAGCGTTTCATCGAAAAGTAATATGCCTATTCACAGAATTCTACATATTACCTATCTACACACGTAAATTCAGAAGACATAAAAACAGTTATCTTCCTTTAAATATTTATACAAAATAATAAACGTAATATTCTACTATTCACAAACACTTTTCGACTCCAAAGATTATTCTTTACACAAGATTATATATTCGAAAAATTTAGAAACGTTCACGCAATAAAAAGAGGATAAACAGGAAGGACGTTTCTCGCACGTATATAGAATTTGTAACATATCAAGTCCATGGCAAGAAATTTGCAAACATAAAACATCCTACGATTGTATATCCTATAAAGTAAAATAATACAAATTTATCTTGCAATGTATATCGATTTTGAGATAAGAAAAATACTTTCCACTTGGAACACATATTTTCGTCACTTTCGTATCGTAAATCGATATGGTCAACGCATTTGTGAGACACGGTCAACGCGCAATACCAATATGGCAAGGGAGTTGCAGAGGCTAATAAACGTGTGCTGACTTGGATATGTACAAAGAATAAGCAAAATATGGTTAGAAATAAACCATGTACCACAAAGACAAACATGTTCAATGGATATTTCTTTACAACAGCACCTTCGCTTTTCGCCTTGCTGTCAAAAAATCCTAACAAATACCATTCATCCCTATATTCACGAGAAAATTCTTTTATGCACTGCGACATAATATACAATATCGGGAGAGCTAAAATAAAATTTGGTATTTGTTTAAATTGATAATATCTTAAGAATCCTACATTCCAATATGTTCTTTGCACATACGAATATGCTAAAGGCAACGTAGCATTACACCACGTTATATCTATACTACCTGGTAGACATAGATTATTGTCTGTGGCATATTGTAAAATGTGAGCTGGCAATAACGACTTATCGTCGAACGTAGAAGTACAAAATTTCATATAATTGTATATTTGTAAAAGAACAAATGGAGATAGTGATATAATTATTGTGCGTAACATGGCAAAATAGTTTTTTAATTTGATTAATTTCAAAATATGCCACAAGACTGATAGTACGTCGTGCTTTCGTTGATGTTTTTCTATTCTTTCCGACGTGCACAAATTTTTAAGCCCGAAATATATAGGGAAGCCAATGTTGACGACACCATTTGATCTCACCAAAGTTGACAAAGCCACGGGAAAACAGATGGTAGATATACCTTCGATACTTCCAAGCATGGTATAAAATGTTAAATACGCAAACATGGATTCTGAATATAGAGCTGAGAAAAATATGCTAGCCGGGTTTATACAGTAAAGTATCGCTGCTTTATACGCCGTTATGGTATTTTGAAATACACGCTCAGTGAGATCATAAAAGATAATAGCCGATTTTACAAAACACACGAAATTAATCAAAATCGCAGCAAGGATCATCGTACTTTGGATGTTGAATGAAGGAAAGATTTTTGTCAAAATAACAGCGATAATGCGAATCATAGCTGGATACAACGGATAAAAAGCGAGAGTATTTTCATACGTGTATCCATATCTTGCAATATGTAAAAAGTACTCTCCATCCCAACGTGTAAGGCCATTGAACAGAAAATTAATTATTCGGTCCCAGGAGGAAACTTTCTCCGCAGAAAGGTCTAAAGGTCTTTTAAACGCGTCCGCGTGATGATCGGGGATTGATACATTGAAAATTACTTGTAATATTAATATCGCGATTCTAGTGGTGATCGCGAACCAAAGAACTTTCTTTCTCGGCGCGTACATTTCGCGCTGCTTTTGCGCAAAGTGCGCTTGAATTTCTATAACCGTATAGCCCCGGACGTACATCCATCTACGCGTAATAAATTAAGAAATAAATCTCTCGTAATCACGTTGCTCGTGGTCTACGTATATCTGCCAGTGATTCATATTTGTGGTTTCCTGTGTGGACACTCTTATCGTCTACGACGAGGAAGTAGTCTAATCAGGCCGCTTGTAACGCACCAAACTCGGTAGAGATCACTCGCGGTAGAACGTGCTGCAGCTCTGAATAAATGAGTGCTAGATGAGTGCTGGATATTGCTGGATATTGCTGGAAAAGATCATTCTGTGTAGCGTTAATGGAGAACAACATGTATCTCGCCTTAAATTTATTCATTATCGTAATTAATTTTTCATTAATTGTTGCACAAAACGCTACAACACAACGGCAACCTCCACTTACACCTACGCTGGACCCGAATAGACGTACGTATAAATACATATGTATCTCATACATTATATCTCAAGCTATATAAATCTGATAGCTTTGGTTGATCTGAATTTCTTTCTTATCTCTTACATGAATTCGCGCTTTACTTTTTTCTCGCGCATTTTACAGTTTCCACATATTGAATTGATATAAAAATACACTAAGATATGTCCTATATGCTAGATTTCAAGAAGCCAGACAAGAACGTGGTCGGTGAAACGTTCGCCAAGGACTTGACAGATTGGTTGTTTACCGGATGTTGGGGTGGAAATAACAATCAACGAAATAAATGCTCACCGTATCGCACAGCATCGAATATCGAATATCCTGGTTACGATGGATGGTACAACAACGTTGGTAGACCGGAACTAGGTGCGGTCGATACTCCGTTGTTAAGAAGACTGCCAGCAGCTTATGAAGATGGAGTGTATAAACCTTCAGGCTCTAAAAGACCGGAACCATTAGAGATAAGTGAGAAGCTGTTGAGCGGAAAAATTGGATCTAAATCAAGAACGGGGAGAAACGCTCTACTTGTATTTTTCGGTACGCGAAAAACCGATTCGTCTTATACAATCTTACGTATCTTAAAAATTACATTATTATTATTTGTAAATACCTCGAAAATATAACATATATTATATCATATCATATGATATGTATGTATGTTATGTCAAATATGTTATGTATAAATTTCAAATCTCTCTCTCTCTCTCTCTCTCTCTCTCTCTCTCTCTCTGCGCAATTTGAAAAAATATGTGCTCAACAGGTCAACAGGTGGTGGAGGAAATTTTAGATGCTCAGAGACCAGCTTGCCCGCCCGAGTATATTAACATAAAAATTCCGAAAAACCATCGATACAGAATAAATAAACCGGGGCACACGGAAATGCCTGTTTTACGTACACGGTACGATCATCGGACGGGCCATTCGCCGAACAATCCTCGTCAACAGGTATGACACGAGCTCCCCTCCGACAATGCTTTCCGAGCGCGCACAGATTTAAATAGATTGCGATTGCAGCTGAACGAGATCACGCCATTCTTAGACGGTGGATTGATCTACGGTACATCCAAAGCGTGGTCCGACGTTTTAAGAACGAGCACTGGGGGAATATTGCAGGAGGACGGGCAACTTGCGTCGTCGGATTTTCCTCTGTATCCGGACTACAACACCGTTAGATTACCGATGGCCAATCCACCGCCGCCTATTCATCATCATCAATATGTCTCGCGACATTACACCGAGAGCGTCACCAGATATTTCAGTGAGTGAGAAAGTTTATTATACAAACAATATACAACAAATAACATATAGAGATACGTGCTAAGAATTTTGTCAGAATTTTGTGCCGCAGATGCGTTTAGCGTAGTCGGCTATATGATGCTCCTTCGGGGTACATTCGTACTCGATCTTCTCCGAATAAGGCATCGGGACGTCGATGCCGGCGCATCGGACCGCAGGTGCGTCGAGCTGAAAAAAGACTGGATTCTCCATGACTGTCGCGACAATCTCGGATCCTACTCCGCATCTAGGCCAGCCCAGTTCAACGGTCATTAGTCTGTGCGTTTTGCCGATCGACTTGAATACCGTATCCCAGTCCAAGGGTCTTAGCGATCGTAGATTGATAACTTCCGCCTCGATACCTTGCCCAGCCAACAGCTCGGCCGCTTGAACCGTATACACGTACGCCTGGCCGTGCGTCACTAGAGTGATGTGCTTGCCAGGCTTCTCCACCTTGGCCTTGCCAATAGGTATCTGGTAGTCCTTGTCCATAGCTTGGTCGGATACGGGAAATTCAATGTTGTAAAGTAGCTCGCTCTCCAGCATGATGACAGGATCGGGATCTCGCACAGCCGCCTTCAAGCAGCCCCTGTAATCCTCGCAGGTCGACGGCGACACGACCTTCAAGCCGGGCGCGCTCATGAACCACGCGGCAAAGCACTGAGAATGCTGCGCGGCCAAACCTTTGGCGTTACCGTTCGGACCGCGAAATAGGATGGGAATGGGAAATCTTCCGGCGGACATGTAGAGATTCTTCGCGGCGCCATTGATAATACGGTCGATGGCTTGCATGGAGAAATTGAAGGTCATAAACTCGCATATCGGCCTTAGGCCTAGGAGCGCCGCGCCGATGGCGATACCACAGAATCCAGCCTCCGTGATCGGCGTGTCGATCAACCGCTTGTCGCCGTACTTCTTCCAGAGACCGCGCGTTATCTTGTAAGCGCCGTCGAATTCCGCGACCTCCTCACCTATTATGAATACCCTTTCGTCCCGAGCCAGCTCCTCGTCGAGGGCCGTATTCAACGCGTCGCGCACTGTCATCTTCGTCATCGATCTGCGGAACGCTTGGCTTTCGCCAAGGATACGCTGCCTCGTTACTCGCGTCAGCATTCCTTTACTTACAGCACTCCTCGACAGTCGAGAAAGATCGGATCTTCAATCGGACGAACAAATTTATATTTCTGCCCTTCTATTCGCGCGGCAAAAGCAACGCTTGTTGCGTCGCCGTCAACACATATGTGTGTTTCAGAATTAGGAAATCCTCGAGGGAACGAAAATCCGTTCTTGCTCACTTTCGGTATAATATGGTTCAGATGGCACAATTTCGTGGCATCTCACATTAAACGCCTCAATCCAAAATGGTCGAGCGACAAAGTTTACAACGAGGCCCGTAAGTGGGTGATAGCGGTTCAGCAACACATTGTCGTCAACGAATGGTTACCTTCGTGGCTGGACGATAGACTTCCTGCGTATGAAGGTAAGAAAGATCAATTTTCATACAAGAAGAGCAGCTGCCGCTCTTAATCTATATGCGATCCAAATGACACGTTGTTCGTTGTTCAAAGGTTACAATCCCAATATTGATCCGCAGATAGATCAATTTTTCCAATCGGCTGCTTTCCGCTTCGGGCATACCTTGGTTCCACCAGGTAAGCAACGCTCCAGTTGACAGCTCCACTGATCAAACGGACAATATTATGGCCCCGTTGCTCTTGCCTCTTATTCACGTGTTTGCGTCGTTCTTTTCATTCACGTGTATGTATGTACTACATACATACAAGATGATGCAAAAAAGACCTAAGATTTTTAATAATGAACGCAGGGGGGAGGGGGAGGTTTAATATTTAATTAAACCTCCGCATCACGTGAAAATCATCATGGAAATCATATATAAAGCTGCGCGTTATAATAACCTACGCGTGTGTGCCTCGTTATAGTAGTTATAATACGTGTAATAATAATGAAATAACATAATGAAATAACATCGACACGCAATAATCGCAATAATCATTCTGTTGTGTCCAGGTGTGTACTTACGCAACTATGGGAGAAATAATTGTTCCTTGGAATCACACCCAATTAGAACATGCAACAATTACTGGATGTCACAGGTATCTTGCAATGACACCTACATTACACATTACACATGTTTTGATTTTCGACGTCGATTACGACGTTACGACGTTCGAAACGTGTTTGTGCGTAATGTATGTACATGATGAATCGTTGTACTTAGAATTCTCTCCATGCCAATTTAACAAGAATAAAGGATGTTATCGATGTGGAGAAATTACTAATGGGAATGGCTATTCAATTATGCGAAGAGGAGGATCATAAAATCGTTGAAGATCTACGGGGCAGTTTGTTCGGTCCATTAGAATTTTCCAGAAGAGATTTAATGGCACTTAATATTCAGAGAGGACGTGACCATGGAGTACCTGATTACAATAGTGCCCGTCGTGCCTACGGTCTGGCGGAAGTTAAAAACGTATCCCATTTTAATCGCGTGAATGTCACGGTACGTTGTATAAAACTCATTTCTCTCCTATATTCCTATATTTGTGCCGCAGCACGATATAAAAGATACACATCCGTCGTGTTTCGGGTAAGATACGGGAGGAGTTTCTCAGATTGTACAACAATTCGTTCGATGACGTGGATGTCTGGGTAGGTGGAATACTAGAGACTGGTGATGGACCCGGAGAGTTGTTTCAAAGAATCATTCGTGATCAGTTTCAGCGAATACGCGACGGTGACAGGTTTTGGTACAATAATACCGCAAATAGGTGCGTACGTGCAAATTCCTGTTTCAGTTTACCTCCTCCCATTTCACGTTTGCATATCATATCCTCCATATGATTTTCTTTGTAGACTTTTCACCGACAAGGAAGTTGAAAGACTGGAACAATTATCGTTTTACGATGTGCTAATGTGTACCACTAAGATGGACTGGAATGATATTCCAAAGAATCCTTTCAGAGTTCCTACCACAGGTAAAGAAAGAGATACATGTTGATTCGCAATGGTTGATGGTAATTAAAATAACTAGATATACCTAGATATTGTCGCTGCTTTTACAGCGAATGGCATACATCCCAGTTGTATCAATAATAAAATTGTGAAAGAAGGCAGATGTACAAATGGTCCCTGTTTTCACGCCGATCAAATAGACGAATACACAATTGAGACGTGCACAGAGCCTGGAACTTATGATTTTTTCTCCAACAGCGGCATATCCTTCATCTTTACATTCTTAGGTGTATCAACGTTGTTTTTTGGTAAAAATCCTGTTACTCCCATTCAAGTCTCTTGTGACGATGTCACATCACTTAATCCTAA